TCATCTTCTAAACCTGCTAGCATCATTAAAATCGTGCAAACAACATCATAATCCACTCAATCTCATCTTTCAAAGTAAAATTTTCTAAACTTCTATTTCATTAATTTTGAACATATGACTAGTTTTAATTAGTTCTAGGTAGAAATAGTGATCGGGAATTGATTGTTTAGTGATTAAAAACTAGATATTACAACTAATTTCATCAAAAACACAAGAATTTTCCAAAATATTTGAAATTTTCGAAATAATAAAAAAATTGTTTTTCAAATTATTGTGTTTTGATTGAATTATGTTGTTGTTATGAAAACTATATTGTTTTTCAAAATCTTATTTTTCAATAGTTTTCAAAAACTTTGCCCATTAGGATTGAATTAGAGAACCTTGAAATATTGAGGACTCAATTGAGTTTTGGGATTGATTGAATTGCATATATGTGTTTTCTAAATTGCATGTTATCCATTCTATTCCGATTTCCTAAACCATGTCCAATCCTAAACGTGCTAGGTCATCATCTAGTCACTCACACCGTCAATCAAATCCACCTCCAAATCCTCCTCCTATTCCTAAAAATCCAATTCCTAATCCTAATCCCATTGATCCTAATTTATCTATTCAAAACTCGTGCTTCAATCATCCTGGTCCTAGAAATCATCGTTTTTGGTATTATCAATATTTCGACTCTTACAAAATTAGAGAAGAACGTATTCCTTCTCGTCAAACTATGTTAGATATTAATTTTAAATATCTTCCTCTTTTACAAGAGTGGAAATTTGATAAACTCTTTGATCTTGAACCCATTGTCTACCATCAACTTGTTCATATCTTCTATTCTAATGTTGTTTGTGTTAAAAACCAAACTGAAACCGAAACCATAGGAGTTCGTTCCTACCTCCTAGGACAATTCTTATATATTGACTCGGCTTACATAGCCAATGCATTCGGATTAGATAATGATGGTATTTCAAATGAAAAACAAATCTTAGGATCTCGTTATAAAAGAAGGGATAGTGCAAGTGTCTTAGACCTTCATGAACGTTTTCTTCATCTAATGATTTCTTGGTGGTTTCGACCATCCGGAGGTCGTTATTCTACTCTTAGAGCCTTGGATCTTTGGTGGTTACATTGTTTCGAAAACAATATTAAAATAAACCTACCTCAGATCATTTTTGCTGAAATTGTTGAAACCGTAAATCTTGTTCCTAACAAGAAACTCTGTTCATCTCTAGTTTACGGTTGCATTTTGAGTAATCTATTTTCTAAGCCAGGCTTAGAGTAGGTCTAGATGCCTCCTTTCCTCAAAGAAATAAATTAATCTTCTTTCTTTAACAAGAGCGGGATGGATAAAGGATAAGGAAACCGGTGAATGGGTTCGATCGTCTGAAAATACTCCGGGAGCTAGTTCTTCACGAGCTCAACCAGAAGCTGGCGACGATCCCGAGCTTCAACAATTAATGCGAGATATCGATGAAGCCGAAGATGAGCCTGAACAGCCTGAGGAGCAAGAACAACAAACGCATCAAATGCCTCCATATTTTCAATCTTTTATGGAGACATTCGATTTCCGATATGCTACCATGGATTCGCGCTTTACTTCTATATAGTCCCATTTATCCACAATGGGAGCTCAACAATTAGAAATCCTCCGAGAGATGCGCATAAACAACGCTTCGATGAATGAACGTATTGATGCACTCTCACACGAGATGGCCGCTATGCGAGCTCGTTTTCCTCCTCCCGATCCGGATGTTTAATTATGTGTTTAGCTTTAAAACTTTGAACTAAAATATTATTGTTTCAACATTTTGAATATTTTGGATTGTTTGATTTTGTGGATTGTTAGACTTTGGATTTGTTTGGATGTTTGAACTTATATATTGTGTGGTTAAATTTATTCATTATTGCATCATTTAAATCATGTTAGATATATGACCAATTTTGCCATGTCACATTAATTATGAATATTGATTATGGAACTAATGGCTAACATTTCTCTTGATTGTGATCTTAGCAGCTTAAACTATATATATTCAATTGGCTATATGATTTAAAAACCTTGTTTAAAATATTTTACAAGTCTTTTTGATTTAACAAAAAAGGGGGAGAAGTGTTAAGTGTTTTAAAGGGAGAAGTGTTAAAGTAAGGGGGGTAATTTTTTGATTTCAAAATCTTAAAATTACTAAAATGTTTGTTATATCAAAAAGGGGGAGATTGTTGAAAACATTTTGATATTTCGATATAACAAATTAAGTTAAATGAATTTTAAGATTTTCCAAAAAGGTTTTCTAAGTATATTCGATATAATTATTCGAATATCAAAATATTACTCCAAATCTTTCAAATGTCATTTTTAATCCTTACTCAAGTGTAAAATTAAGTTTTAATCTTAAAATAATTTCAAAACGATTTTACAATATATTTCGAACCATCTCAAAGCCAAAAATTCCAGATTGCTCAGAGGGAACCGATTCCCCCCCAAAGGGGTACCGATTCCCCCTTAATGGTTTGGCTCCGAGAATTCTAGTATGCTCGGAGGGAACCGATTCCCCCCTGTGTAACGGTCAAATATTTGAATTTTACACTTAGGGAACCGATTCCCTCTAAGGGGTACCGATTCCCCCCACGCTCCAAACTGTTTTATTAATTGATTTCACACTAAAACAGCTATATTATCTTCATTAATGATCTCCAACGTTCAAAAGTGATTCAAGGTGTATTTAAGCAAGCTTAGAAGCCATTGATTAATGACAAGAAACATCAAGCAACTAGAATCAAGAGAGAATCAAAGAGAAAGCATCAAACCTCAAGTTTGAGCATTTCAAGCCTATTTTTCATTTAATATTCATTTTGCTTTCAAGAACACATATTGTGCTCAATTGTATTCATTCTTGAGTGTTCTTTTCTTTGTTATAGAATTGTGCAAACAATCTACCTTGTGAGGATTTCCTTGTAAGTTTCAAATTTGTATTATGTTTTCTTTGGGAGAGAGTGTTCTCAAGAATTTGGGGTATAATTCTTGAGGGTTTGTAAGGTTACTCTTTGTCCTCAAAAGAAAGATAAATTAGTGAATTTGTGGAAAATCCTTAGTGTGGATAGCTAAGGTAGTGGACGTAGACTTTGGTTGAGAAAGTCGAACCACTCTAAATCGCTGTGCAATTTCTTTCAATTTTCTGCAAAAGCTTCCACCAAAATTTTTATTACCAATTCACCACCCTCTTGGCCAATTCCATCAATCGATTAACTCAACACTATGTGAAAAGGAATACAAGAAAAACTGAAAAGCTATGTGATAAGTGAATGTGAATTACATGGAAATATGTTATGTGAAAGTGAACTATGTGCCTACGTGAATATGTAAAAAGATGAATAATAATGTCCATGTTATATAATAAGAGAGCTATAGGTATAGTTGGCATGCCAAGAGTCGAGGGTCTACGTGGTCCTTCGGGACATAGTGGTCCTTCGGGACATAATGGTCCTTCGGGACACAGTGGTCCTTTGGGACATAGTGGTCCTACGGGACAAATTCTACGCGCCCCTAGTGGGATTTATACGAGCTGTGGTGATAGCATTGTGCACAACCTCTATGTACTCACATACCTTAAGTTCTCAATAGTGTGCATGGGCTTTGAAAAAAAATATATTTTGATATAATGATATGTGTGTTTCTCGTGAAAAGGTATATGTGATATGTGATATGTGATATGTATAAGTAATAAGTTAGGATAATATGATAGTAATGGTGAAAAATGCATATGTGCAATGGTGATACGAGATGTTATATGGTTATGCATGGTATGATCATAGTACTTATTCATGTATTGTTGTTTGTTGAAGTTATATTATATGTTTATGTTCAACAATATATGCTCATATAATGGAATGAAATTAATGACAAGGAAATAAGTAAGGATAAACATGTTAGTGATGAGTTCAATAGGTGTATAAGTATAATGTGTATTATATAAGATGTTCATGCAATTGTTAGTTTACCTTATATATTTACATGTCTCACTAAGTCTATGACTTAGCGTGTAAGTGTCTTACACGTAGGTGTGGATCAATCAGAAGATCAAGCTTGGGATCGTAAAGCATCATATCTCCGTACAAAGTTCAGATCAGAAATATTTTTGTATAGTACGTCGTGTCATATAATTTAGTATGTTGGCATGTAACTAAGTCACTAAATATGTACGCTCTGATGGAGTCTGTTAAGGTTTTTTGACACATTTATGTAAAATAATTTCTTATAGAATAGAAGTTTTAAATTTTCTATGGTTTCTTTTATAAAGTATATGCTTTGACTGGTCAATGTGACACCTCAGACTCGTATCGGGTCAGGTACGGGTTGGGGGTGTTACACATATAACATATATACTAAAATAACCCACTTTTTTTGCTTGATTGAAGCCTGAAGATTCGAAAATATAATTAAGATGTGTTCACCATGCACTTCAAATAATCAACACTGATCCTAGGAGACATTTTAGAAATAAGAGAGCTATGAAGCATGGACATTTCTGTCAAGGGAGTGTGAGTGTCCAAGTGTTGAAGATGTATCTCAAATGAACACGATTCCAACATGATGAAATATATGCTATACGATAGGGAAAAAGAAGAAGCAATCATGTGTGTTGTAAGCCAGTACTCCCTTAAATGTAAAACAAGCATGCTGAAGATAAACAGTAACCGATTACTACCACAATCAGATACCATATATGCAACTCTACTACCATTACAGTTAATACCCAAGCTAGATTTTGATCCCTGTAAATACTTGTAAAATAAAATACAGGGGTATTTCACCATTCACGGTGGGTGAAAATTATCTTTCTTCGAGGATGGGAAGATCAAGGTACCACATTAAAAGATCAGGTTAACATTGCACTTAACTAACAGATCTAAAACAAAATATTTCACCACAATTGATCATAGAAACAATAGATCACAGCAAAAATAGAACACAAAGATCTTCATTTTCTACTCAAGTAAAAAGAATGTACCTTAATAGAAACCTTTCTTTTCACTTGAATTTCATGGGCTTCAGTCATAGACTAACAAAAATGAGAACAAAATGAATAATGATCAGGGAGAAAGGGGGAAGAGAGAGAATCAGAAAAATGTTGTAACATTACCTTATCGAACTGGATGAGAACCTGAATAGTGAGCTCGGGGCTCAGAGTAATGCTTGAAACCATCTCATCTAAAGTCTTTGTCAAACATATCCCGATCGTTGACCTCTGGTAAAGCTCAAACGTCGTCATTATTCACCCGATCTGCGCAAAAAAAAAATCGTAAATCTCGATATCGAAAAAAGTTTAAAAAATGATAAAAGTCAATTTAGGATATGAATATTGAATGAAGAAATTACGAACTTTGGAGCCAAAGCGATTGTGGATGTCTGGAAATGTTGGAGCTTTGAAGAATTTTTAAGGAGCTCAACTTTAAATTATGGTGAAAGGGGAAAATTATTTTTCGTTTGGGCGGAGACGATTTGGGGCTTTTTATACCCTAGATTTTGTAGATTAATGTATATATAGAAGCGACTGTCTGGGATAAATGATATGACTCTTTTACCCCTTTCTTCTCTTTATGAGACCATACCTCTTACTCTCACGGATATAATTCAGTTATGGCCCACGTCATTATTCAGATTAGTTACTATTTCTTTTTTTATATCTTTGAGGTAATGTTTAAACATTATATAGTATAAAAAATTTCTCTATTTTTTAATTAAATAATTATTTTAATTTATATTTTTTAGAATATTTTGACTCTTTATCATTTTATTTATAGTGAAAATGTTCTTGATGTTTGACTAAATAATCATTTTAATTTTAATATTTTTTTTTGGATATTTTGATCATAATATTTTATTTTAAGATAAAATGCATCTATTTTAGAGTATTGATAGTTTGTTGACTAACAATTTTTATCAATGGAGAAACAATTTTGTCCCTAAAAAGGAAACGTTAAATGCTCTAAAAAAAGAATAGAAACAAAAGTAATTATTTAATTAAATGTTAATGATATTTTTCATCATTATGCCTATATAAAAATATAATTATTATCTTAATAATAATATTCATATATAATTAAAAAATCATTAAATATATTTGATTGCTCGTGAATAATTATATTATAATTTTTTATATCATGTTTAATAGTATAAATTGTAATTATATAGTTACATAAATTTAATTTTTAAAATAAAATGAATTGAGACTTTTAATTACATCTAATTCAACAATATCTATAAATTACAGTAATTGTCTAAATATGGAAAAATTTAAATCGCAGTCGCATACGACAACATACCACTAAAACAACGTACCACAAGTAAATTTATCATTATCATGTAATTATTAAAAACTATAAGGGTTTATTTAAAATTAATCATTTTTAAAATTAATTATAATTTTAACTTATATAACTTAAAAATCCTAATTCTAAACAAATTAAATTACTTGAATTAATTATTATTTTTAATTAAAAAATTATAATTTAATTATAATTATATTAAAATTGTAATTAAATTTTAATAAATGATTAATTTTAAATAAATCCTTATAATTATAATTCTATTAAAGTTATTATTTTAATATTTATATAATAATTATTTATTTAAAATTAATCATTTAAATTAAAACAAAAGTAGGTGGGGCAATGTAAGTTAGCCATATATTTTAAAACAAAAACATACAATTAGTTTAAATATAAATGGGAGAAATTATTGGGGGTTTTAATGCAATTTAACCATTCTAAATAAAACATAGATAAGGGGTTAGAATGTAATTTAACAATTAAAAAAATAATGGATAAGATGACTAGAGAGTTAAGTGCGATGGACTTACACACAGCTTTGGGTGCGGACAAATGAGAACCGCCAGTCGTGGTTGGTCTGGTTGGGATGGACGCCTGTCGGGGATGATTCTTTGAAGGTCACCGTGTGTAAAAAAACAAATAAACAAACAAACAACGACCAATGCAACAAACAAAGCTTCTCATTCGAGACGGTCGACTGTTGAGTGACGGTGAACTAGGCAACGACAAACGAATGCGTTGGATGTTGTAGCAATTAATTTTTTGGCGAGTTAAGATGATCACTAATGGTGACTAATGTTGATGACCGATTCTAACTTATATAACTTAACAATCTTAATAAATTTAATTATCATTTTAATAAAGATTATAATTTAATTATAATTCTATTGAAATTATAATTAAATTTTAATAAATGATTAATTTTAAATAAATCTTATTCTTTTTAATATTTACATAGTAAGGATAAATTTACTTATGGTACGTTTTGGTACATCGCTTTAGGAGTATGTTGCGGTATGTAACGTGCATTGTAGACTTATCTATCTTAATAAACTACAATTATATAATTATACTCGACTCTAATTATGTGTTGTCTTTCCAAATATGTCGTTATAGTAGTTATAATGTTTTCACCTAGGGATGGCAACGGGCCGGGTATTGGTCCCCCCGTCCCCGTTTAAAAAACCCGTACACGTCCCCGCTTAAAAAATCACGGGGATTTAAACGGGGATCCCCATCGGGTAATCAGGGAAAACTGCGGGGAAACGGGTATTCCCGTTTAGCATAAACGGTTATTTAAACGGGTATCTGGCCGGGTATCGGGCCGGGTATATATATTTAAATTAAATATATAAATATTATATATATATATATTAATTTAAATTAAATTTATTAATATTATATATATATATAATAATTATTTTTAATATTTATCGGGCCGGATAATCGGGGCGGGGATTACTAAACCCGTCCCCGTCCCGTTTAACATAAACAGTTTTTCCCCGTCCCCGTTTAGCATAAACAATTTTTCCTCGTCCCCGTTTAATTGGTTTTCGATTTTCCCCGTCGGGTTCGGATTTTTTTACCATCCCTATTTTCACCTAAAATAGTTCATAAAGTGATCCATGGATCATGCGGATTGGATTGTGATTTGGATTTGTTTAATAAAAGAAAGCATATGGGTGATTTATTTTCGTAGTCGTCTCAAATCAGTAATATCATTATTTGTTCTTAGTTATATCAATTTAACACTTTAATTTTTTTATTTTGATATTATCGTTTAATCTACGTAAAACAATATTGATGTTATAACATGACAGTCGATAATACTTATTAAAATATCACTTGTGAACGATGATGTAGTAGAGACATTTAATTGATTTTTTAATCGAATTTAAGGTATATTGATTTTTATAGAAAATGTGAGAGTTTGTTTAATCTTTAAAAACAAATTAAGAATTTAATAAATTATTAAAATTTTAAAATAATTAAAAATATTTAAAATAAGTCAATTATTAAAAATTTAAACTTATAAATATTTAAAAAAAAAAGTTGAACACTTCAATAAGAGAAATATTCGATTCTCTCATCAACAACCTACTACAATTCATTGAATGAAAAATGTTAGAATGGACGTCACTCATTGATGTACACTATTAATTTTGTAGGGTAAATTTTTTTAATGCTCACTAAACTATATTGAAATAATATTTTTTATATCAATTTTTAAAAAAAATTTACATAATGACATTAAACTTTTTCTAAAATGGATAAAAATATAAGCATTAAACTATGGTAAACTATTTTTTTTGTCATTTAACTTTCAAAAATCATAAAATAAACATTAAACATTAGATTTTGTTAAGAATATAAGCATCAATCATTAATTATCGTAAAGGGGTGATGTGATATTCTAAATTAATAAAAATATCTTATTTGGTTCTTCAATTGTGACCAAAATTTTATTTTAATATTTTAAGTAAAAATTTCAATAAAATTAAATATATATATATATATATATATTAAATCTCACAATTTATTTTTGAAATTAGAAAATCTTAAAGTTATATTTGAACTTATTCATAAAAAATAAATAATTAACTATTAAATAATTAAATCACATTACTTTACAAAAAAAATGACTTTGCTTTATGATAATTAAAATTGTAATATTTCGAAAATTATAAATTATACAATTTTAGTCATAACAAAATACAAAAATATTTATAAAAAAAATTCATCAAATTATAATTTTAAAAATATTTTTATAACTTTAAAAAAGAATTATATATATATATTAAAATTGTTTTTTTAGAATTATTGCTTTGAACTGTTGAAAAATAATCAAAAATGAATTTTTACTAAAATTTGTTTATTTAATATGTTAAATCACCCCTTTAGTGACAATTACAATGCAATATCCATTTTATAAAAAATATTAAAATTTAATGCCTAATATATAATTTTTGAAAAAATTAATATCCAAAAAGATTATTTTAACATAATTTAGTGACAACTTAAAAATTTTACCTACAAAATTAATAGTGTATATTGATGTAAAATTTGAAAGAAAAAAAAACATTGTAAAATTTGATTTAAGGGGTGGAGAAGCACCGAGCACTAAGAAAATGGCTAAACTTCAATATAGACATTCAAAACAATCTTGACAACGGTAAGAAATATGAAGTTTCAACATTATCATTTGATCACAATACAGATGAGTTTGTCCATAAAACTGTATGATTATTGTTTGTGTGCTTATTTATGAAAAACTCAAGGTTCAACTTTAACATCTGAAAATGCTAAGACTCATCTGATGAGGCCAGATCATCCTTATGATTGATCATCCCGGAATCAATATGCTAAGACTCATTTGATGAGGCTGCATCATCCTTATGCTTGATCATCCCAGAATCGACGAGAATCGGAATCTCTGCAGCAAACCATGGAGCAAGACCCAAACAAAGTGCATGTGCTATACCAAACCTAGGACTGCACAACAAGATCAGAAAAGATACAAACATTGTGTAACAATTCCAGAAGAAAGTGTGCGAAAGAGCAGAGCGATAGAACTATCGAATAACTGACATCAATAGACTGCTGTTTGCAAAATTCATCCACAAGTGGGAACAGAGGCGGATAAAGCAGTGCCTATCCCTTCTGCCCCATGGTTAGCTCAAAATTGTCCTCTATATCTTCCTTAAACCATATATATTAGACTCTGTCGCCAAGAACTAACATTTGGTACTACCTATTAGACTGTTGCTAAGAACTAACATTTGTTAAGATCATTTGCCTGAATTGGACAAACTAGTCGAGTTCATGAAAGGACAGATAATTTATTAACCATGAAAATGAACATATGGAAATAGCTCAGGGATGATTTCTATATGTAAAACTGAAATTTTCCGATAAAATATTATGAACACAGACAATGTCATGTAAACTTCCTTGATCAAAGGTTTCATTTTAGATTTCGGATTCCATTGACACCGACGTAATTCAAGTCACTTCTATTCTAGAATTGGAATTCCATTTCCTACCAAAACCGAACTTATATTGCTCCAACTCTTTACTTTTTGTTGGGGGATTCGTGTCAAACTCATAATTGAGCCTAGGTATGGGGATCGCATGATCCTCAAAGTACTCTCATGTAAAACTTACAAGAAAAAAAAAATCAATCTGACTCCCACACCAGAGTCT